GAGAGCAGGGCCTCCCCAGATGATCTCAGACTCCGGGGTGGGACGTAGAGGGAGATGCGTTCGGACAGATACGCTGGACCGGAACCGTACAGGGTTTTATAGGTCAAGACCAGCACCTTGAATTGTGCTCGGAACCGAACCGGCAGCCAGTGGAGCTGACACAGCAGGGGGTGGTGTGCTCCCTGTATCACGCTCCGGTGAGTAGTCTGGCTGCCGTTCGCTGGACCAATTGAAGTTTCCGAACAGTCTTCAAGGGCAACCCCACGTAGAGTGTGTCGCAGTAGTCTATTCGGGATGTAACAAGAGCGTGGACCACTGTGGCCAGATCAGGCTTCCCAAGGTACGGGCGCAACTGGTGCACAAGTTTTAATTAGATATGATTCACACACACACACACACAGACAGGGGCGGCTCAACCCATACGCAAAGTAAGCAGCCGCGGTAGAGTCGATGTTGCCCAGGGGCGCTCTTGAGGCGCTCTTGGGGGGAAATAGACCTTGACATATGCGAGTTGTAGTTGCTGGGATGTATAGAATCAAAGAGCATTCTGAACTCCTTCAATGATGGAAGGCAGAGCTCCCTGTCGGCCGTCACCACCCCCAGCTCCTTCAAGGTCAGAGAAGTAATGACAGATGGATAGATGAGAAAGGTGATCGAGTCCAATCCCTTACAATAGATTATTGATCAATAGAGCTGATAATAGATAAGTGATAGGTGATGCATAGATAGAGATCAATGAGAGAGAGAGATGATAAAAACGATACCTAGATAGACAGATAGATAATGATACCAATCGATAGATACATGATAGATAGATATAAATGAGGAAGAGAGATGTTAAGAACATGTTGTTGTATTGTCGAAGGCTTTCATGGCCAGAATCACTGGGTTGTTGTAGATTTTTTCGGGCTATATAGCCGTGTTCAAGAGGCATTCTCTCCTGACGTTTCGCCTGCATCTATGGGAAGCATCCTCAGAGGTTGTGAGGTCTGTTGGAAGTAGGAAAGGGGGTTTATATAACTGTGGAATGACCAGGGTGGGACAAAGGACTCTTGTCTGTTGGAGCTAGGGGTGAATGTTTCAACTGACCACCTTGATGAGCATTTGATGGCCTGGCAGTGCTTGGGGCAATCTTTTGTTGGGAGGTGATTAGATGTTCTTGATTGTTTCCTCTCTGTTGTTTTGCTGTTGTAATTTTAGAGTCTTTTAATCCTGGTAGCGAGATTTGGTTCATTTTCATGTTTTCCTCCTTTCTGTTGACATTGTCCACATGCTTCTTGTGGATTTCAATTTTGTCATTGGGAAGTTGTACTTGCTGGGTTTTATAGTTCACCTACAATGAAAGAGCATTCTGAACTCCAGTAACGACGGAATTGGACCAATCACCCAGGTGTCATGTTAGGCTTGTGTGCTAAGTTTGGCCCAGACCCATCACTGTTTGGGTTCGGAGTTGTCTCAGGATGTTGGTGAACTAGATCTCCCAGGATTATAGAAAGAGAGAGAGAGATCACGTCTTGCAAGAAGTCTTTTCCCCGAAGCAGTGAATCATCCTCCTCATCCGTCCGAAGAAGGGGGTCAGGGCAAGGGACGGGGGGGGGCAGCCTTGACGTCACGCTGTGCGTCACAACCTTGAGAACGTCCCCCGAAACGGTCTTGTTCCGTCTGTTGGGGGGGACGAGGGAGAGGCGCCCCTCATTACGAGCCCAGAGGACGCTCTCTGCCGGGTGCCAGGACTCCATTTAATTAAGGGAAAGAGCTCCAGAGACGTCAGAGGAGCCGCCAGGTGGGGCGAGGGGGGGGGGGTCCCACGAAAGGCACAGAGAGAGAGACCCCCCTCCCTGGCACAGAAAGAGAGACCCTTTGGGGGACGACGGGGACAGGTTGGGACCCCCGCCACAGGCTGTCTTGCAAGACGTGCGGCAAAGGTCAGCGAAGGCACAAGGCAAAGTAGACCAACGAGCAGAATTTATTTATCGTATCAGAAGCGGCCAAGAAAACAATTACAATGCATTTAAATACACAAACAAGGAATTATACTTCATGTCCTTTGACCCAAAGCTGGCCACTTGGAGACCCTCTGGTGTTGCCGAGAGAAGTGGAGTGGACATCCTCTCTCGGACAGATGGCAAGCTGTTTGACCTCAGCAGACTGGTGTGTGGTGGTGCCTTGAGCAAGGTGGAAACTACCCTGAGTTGCGACACTGGCTCCAAACTCATGACCTTTTGGTCAGTAGTAATCTTAATGCAGCTGACTCCCCGCCACACTTATATTTGTAAAGTGACGCCCGTCTTCCCTTCCTTTTCTTCTCATGGCCAACCCTGCAAAAAGGAGGGTCCAGGGACACACAAGTACCAGGGCAGCAGGAAAACACAACCACACTACCCCAACAGATGGTCATCCAGGCAGAGGCGGCCCTAGGTCATTTTCAACGGTAAGCAAACAGTATTTTGGCGCCCCCCCCCCACCAACCAATCATTGATATATATTTTCTGTTTGTCGTGGGAGTTCTGTGTGCCATATTTGGTTCAATTCCATCATTGGTGGGGTTCAGAATGCTCTTTGATTTTAGGTGAACTATGCATCTCAGCAGGGGCGGCTCGTCCATTATGCGAAGTAAGCGGTCGCAGAACACTTTTTTTTTGCCAGGGGTGCAGAGGCGCCTCTGTAAATGCCCCTTGACCGCCACTTGGACAAGTTTTTTAAGAAAAAACCTATCAACAAACTATGACAACATCTCTTTTTTATTTTTTTTTAATCAAGCCATACAATGTTGATTTTGTGTTTTTTTTATTTGTTTTATAGGTTGTCTAGCCTCTGACTTCCAGTTGCCCCTCCCTTACGGGTAGCGATGATGCTTTTCAATGTGTATTATTTGGTCTGTTCGCATCACTTATCGGGTTGGTCGATTGGAGGTGTCCTATATTACGTGCAAGTAAGCGGTCGCAGAACTTTTTTGCACAGAGGCGCCTCTGTAAATGCCCCTCGACTGCCACTTGAGGAGCGCCCCCTCAGCTCACAACAGCCCTAGCAGTCCGGGGGGAGCCTCGGCTTTCTTGCCTCGCTGCCGGGCGATCCTCTTCCCAAAGGGGCCGGGCCCTTGAGCCTCGCCTAGCCCCTCTCGTTCCTGCTCCACCCGGCCACCGGGTGCGCAAGCAGAGCCGGCGCTCAATCGTTCTCCGCGTTCGATCCCTTCCCCATGACCGGCTCCCTTTCCCGATCCCCCGGCGCTCCACCCGCCTCCTCTCCTCTCCCCAATCCGCGGGTGGGCCAAGGGGCGGAGCCGCCCCGCTTCGGGTCCGGAGGCATGTCTGAAGACCCCAGCGTGCGCACCAAAAGTCGCCTCTTCTCCTGACTTTCTCTTCAGCCATTGGGACCAAGAGAGAGAGAGAGAGAGAGAGAGAGAGAGCCCCTCCGGCTGGAGGTATCTCCCACCTCCGCTCCCTCCTTTGTTTTTGCGCCTACTTTCAGGAAAGGTGGGCATCTCCACCTCTCTCTCTCTCTCTCTCTCTCTGGATGTTCACCTACAATCAAAGAGCATTCTGAACTCCACCAATGATGGAATTGAACCAAATATGGCACACAGAACTCCCACGACAAACAGGAAATATATATCAATGATTGGTTGGGGGGGGGGGGCAAAAACTCGTTGCTTACTGTTGAAAATTACATCGGGCCGCCTCTGCATCCCAGTAACTACAACCCGCATATGTCAAGGTCCATTTCCCCCAAGAGCTCCTCAAGAGCGCCCCTGGCAAAATAGACTATACCGCGAATGCTTACTTTGCGTAAGGGGTTGACCGCCCCTGCATCCAGGCCCCCAAAAGAAGGAGCCCACACAACACTCCAGAATGCTCTTTGATTTTAGGTGAACTATACATCTCAGTAACTACAACTCGCATAGGTCATGGTCTATTTTTCCCCCAAGAGCACCCCTGGCGAAATCGACTATACCGCGAATGCTTACTTTGGGTATGGGATGAGCCGCCCCTGCATCCAGGCCCCCCAAAGAAGGAGCCCACACAACACTCCAGAATGCTCTTTGATTTTAGGTGAACTATACATCTCAGTAACTACAACTCGCATAGGTCAAGGTCTGTTTTCCCCCAAGAGTGCCTCAAGAGCGCCCCTGGCAAAATCGACTATACCGCGAATGCTTACTTTGGGTATGGGATGAGCCGCCCCTGCATCCAGGCCCCCCAAAGAAGGAGCCCACACAACACTCCAGAATGCTCTTTGATTTTAGGTGAACTATACATCTCAGTAACTACAACTCGCATAGGTCAAGGTCTGTTTTCCCCCAAGAGTGCCTCAAGAGCGCCCCTGGCAAAATCGACTATACCGCGAATGCTTACTTTGCGTAAGGGGTTGACCGCCCCTGCATCCAGGCCCCCCAAAGAAGGAGCCCGCACGACACTCCGAGCGCTGAGCATAAGAGAGAGGCCTGGCCTTGCTGTGCCCCCTCCCATTCCCACCAGGCACCCCCACCCTTGGCTCCGGCCCTGGCCTTGCTCTGCCCCACTTGTGCCACGCAGGGTGCCTCCACGCTCTTGACCGCCAAGGGGTCACGCTCGGGCGGATCGTCCTGCTCCGAGGGGTTGCCAAAACCCACCTTGCGTGCCCACTCCCCGCAAATAATAGCTCCACACCCCTTCCAGATGACCCCAACTTGTGCCCATGACTTCATCCTGGGGCTTGTTTACCTCCCTGGGGTCTTCGCAGTGGGTTTTTGGGGGTCTCCCCAAAGCGATACCTCCAAAGCCCCCTCCCCCTGTGTTGCAGGTGGGCCGTAAATCAGCGCTCCGTTGGCAGTGGTCCCATCTCCATCTCCTTTTCCATTAGCGCCTGATTGATGGCTGGAAGGGGCTCGTGTCCCGTTTACAAACTTTCTCTGTCCCTCGCTGCCCGCCGCTCTGTCCATCAGCCGGGAGATTTATTGGCTCTGAAGGAAAGAGGATGACATCAACGCACTCCTGGCGCACGGTGCGGACCGGGCGCCCATTGGAGGGATGGGTGGCGGAGGCGGTGGCGGGCGTCACTGGCCTTGCGGGGAGGAGGGGGCCAGGCAGGACATATAGGCCCACCGAGGGCCACCCGGGAGAAGCCACGCCGGCAGACAGGCAGGGACACCCACACCTGGAAGGAAGAGAGGAAGGAGGATGGAGAAGCTGGGCTGGATCTGCCTCTCCCTGGCCAGCCTCGCAGGGACGGCAGTCTGGGCACTGCCCTCCAGAGCCATGGCCGGAGAGCTCGGCGCTTGGCCTCCAGGTAAGGCCCTCTCCCATTGCCCTCATCTGAACACGAGGAAGAACTTCCTGACTGTGAGAGCCATTCAGCAGTGGAACTCTCTGCCCTGGAGGGAGTGTGGTGGAGGCTCCTCCTTTGGAAGCTTTTAAACAGAGGCTAGATGGCCATCTGTCAGGGCAGAATGGGGTTGGACTGGATGATGGCCCATGAGGGCTCTTCCAACTCTTTGATTCTATGATTCTATGAAATAAATCATAGAATCAAAGAGTGGGAGAAATCTTCTTTGGTGATTTCTCCCTTTTTCCACTTCTTGTGCATGTCTCTTTTGTGTCTTAGAACAGTTAGAAGTTATTACTAGCTGTCCCCTGCCACGCGTTGCTGTGGCTCACATGGGGGTTCTGTGTGGGTTTGGCCCAATTCTATCGTTGGTGGGGTTCAGAATGCTCTGTGATTGTAGGTGAACTATAAATCCCAGCAACTACAACTCCCAAATGTCAAGATTCTATTTCCCCCAAACTCCACCAGTGTTCACATTTGGGCATATTGAGTATTCGTGCTAAGTTTGATCCAGATCCATCATTGTTTGAGTCCACAGTGCTCTCTGGATGTAGGTGAACTACAACTCCAAAACTCAAGGACAATGCCCACCAAACCATTCAAGTATTTTCTGTTAGTAATGGGAGTTCTGTGTGCCAAGTTTGGTTCAATTCCATCATTGGTGGGGTTCAGAATGTTCTTGATTGTAAGTGAACTATAAATCCCAGCAACTACAACTCCCAAATGTCAAGATCTTATTTCCCCCAAACTCCACCAGTGTTCACATTTGGGCATATTGAGTCTTCGTGTAGAGTTTGGTCCAGATCCATCATTGTTTGAGTCCACAGTGCTCTCTGGATGTAGGTGAACTACAACTCCAAAACCAAAGGACACAGCCCACCAAACTCTTCCAGTATTTTCTGTTAGTCATGGGAGAACTCTGTGCCAAGTTTGGTTCAATTCCATTGTTGGTGGGGTTCAGAATGCTCTTTGATTGTAGGTGAACTATAAATCCCAGCAACTACAACTACCAAATGACAAAATCATTTTTTTGAGTGAAGGACATACATTGGGTTGTTAGGTGTCTTGTGTCCAAATTTGGTGTCAATTCTCCAGTGGTTTTTGAGTTCTGTTAATCCCACAAACGAACATTACATTTTTATTTATATAGATAAGTAAAAAGCATCTAAGTAAAAAGCACTTTAAAGGAATAGGTAAATCCAATTAGGTAAGAAGATAAGCATGAACATTGTAATATTTTTTTTTGCTTTTTAAGTCTCTTCCGCTGTGTTTTTCAGTGTTTTTATGAGTGAAGGACATACATTGGGTTGTGAGGTGTCTTGTGTTCAAATTTGGTGTCAATTCGTCCAGTGGATTTTGAGCTGTGTTCATCCCACAAACAAACATGACAACATTATTATTATTATTATTATTATTATTATTATTATTATTATTATTATTATTATTGTGGCTTTGGGTGACCCTTTGGTCCCTTTGGAGAAGGGTCGCCATTGCTGGCTTGGCCCCCGCTGCCCTGGACCCCCAACTGATTCTAGGGGCCCCCCTTTTTTCTCCCCCCAGCGGCCCCCGAGGAAGAGGCGTGGCTTGGTCTGGAGGCCTTGGCGGAGCAGGTGAGCCCTCCCCAGGAAGCGGGCGACCACCCCAGGAAAGCAGGTAAGGAAGGCCCTCTGTCCATGCTGACCCAAAGGGGAAGTGGTCAGTGGGTGCTGGGACGGAGCTCCCCGGGATCCGGGTCTGATTGGGGTGCACTGCTTGTCCCTTATATAATAACTCTGTTTGGCCCCCTTTCCTTCCAGGTCTCCGGCCTGAGGGTCTCCCCCAAGACGGCCTCCAGCCACGGGAAAGTGGACTCCAAAAAGTAAGCAGGGCCTCCTTCTGGGTGGCTCCGATGACTTTTGACCTCTGCGGGTTTTTCTGCCCGAGAAAGAAGGCTCTGCTCACCCCTTTCCTGGCCAGGATCTGGGCCCCCTCAAGGGTTTCTTGCACAGGGTTAATTCCCAACATTTCCCCCCTTTCTCCCCCTCTTTTCCTTTCTTTCTTTCCTTCTCTTCTTCTCCTCTTTCTTTCCTTTCCTTCCTCTCTTCCTTTCCTGTCCTTTAACCCCCCTTTTATTTCCTCCCCTTTCCTTCCTCCCCTTTTTTTCCTTCCTCTCTTCCCTTCTTTCCGTTCTTCCTTCCCTTCATCCTTCTTTCCTTCCTCTCTTCACTCTTCTTTCCGTTCTTCCTTCCCTTCATCCTTTCTTTCCTCCCCTTCCTCTCTTCACTCTTCTTTCCGTTCTTCCTTCCCTTCATCCTTTCTTTCCTCCCCTTCCTCTCTTCACTCTTCTTTCCGTTCTTCCTTCCCTTCATCCTTCTTTCCTTCCTCTCTTCACTCTTCTTTCCGTTCTTCCTTCCCTTCATCCTTTCTTTCCTCCCCTTCCTCTCTTCACTCTTCTTTCCGTTCTTCCTTCCCTTCATCCTTCTTTCCTTCCTCTCTTCACTCTTCTTTCCGTTCTTCCTTCCCTTCATCCTTTCTTTCCTCCCCTTCCTCTCTTCACTCTTCTTTC